TTCTTGTTGCTAGATATCTCGTTCGTACACATATTCTCTTTGTTTCCTGGGCCTCTAGTGAGTTACAGACAGAGTTCAAAAAGGTTAAATCATCCCTTTTATCAAACATAAAGATGCAAATAGGTCTTTAATGAGTTCTAATATGCAACGTCAAGCAGTTCCCCGGGTCTACAAGGTCCCAAATAAATTGGCTTATTCGAAAAAGGCTTTGTTTTTTGGAAGATCTATCTCGTGTCTGAGCACATATGCTTACTGGAGTTGGACTATGACTTTTGCTTTGATTAATTTTATAATTTGTTTGTGAAAATTAATCTTTTCTTTTAAATAATTAATGCACAGTCGAGTTGCTCATTTATAGATATATAGAGTTAGGCATGAAAGTATTACCCTTGATCGGGTCCACGACGACTTACTGTCATCATGCTATTCGCTTGTTCATGCTTGGTGTGCTTATTGATCTTTGACAGCTTCTCCAAATTCAGCAGAGATCTATATCGGTGAATTCCTTTTTTAATTTGATCAAAGAATTGAAATTTACAACTCTTTTTAGTTGCATTTTCTTTATAATTTATGGTATGCTAGTGCTGTTGATAAACAATCAAAGAAATAACAGACCTTTATGGTCCTTCAGTTTTGTTAATTAATTTGACTAAACTGCACCACGTTGTTTTGAAAAGTATCATGTTATGTTACCTTTTAATATAAGTATCATATAATGTTACTGATGATCTCAGAAATCTGTTTGTCCATGTTGTCAACAAATCTTTTGCCATGTCTTGCCTACCTATATGTTTCCCGCACACTTAGTCACAAATCGTTAGGCACCAAGATTGTCATTCGAAGAAAAAGAATAAGTGCATGATGGTTGATACTCCAACGATCAAGTCAATTATCGGTATAAGTTATATAGGAAAGGGTGTGGGAGAGACAAATTAGAAGAGACTTGGCTAGTGTTATGAATGCATACCACAATATCTCTGCATGGCTACTTATAGGGAAAGAGTTCTCGTGAAATTAAATTGGGATATTGAAACCCTCGTGTTGTCATTAGTCGTAGGATCCTTGACGAGTTATGGTAAGCCCTTCTTGATGGATCCCTTTCCTTGTAAGAGTCGATTTCTCTATGGAGATTGATTCCCCAATAAAGGTTTGGGCCTTGCCTAGAAGCATTGGTTTGGTGGGCACATCAGGGCCTCGCCCACAATCTCGGTAGCGGGGTTCAGCGCAAAATTGACGCCATCACCTATCATTCCTAACACCATAAAGGACAATGTGGTATTACATAGGGTGAAGCTCATGGTTAGGTTCTTCCCAGATGGGCGAAGACCATACGAATCAATGACATACTAACACTTGCTCGTATGGTGTTCATCTGCCCACGTGCCTTCCTAATGAGTTCAGGATGTAATAAAAGTCCCTCAAATCCTAATCTGTAACATAAAATAATTTTTGGAGACTTTTAAAAATTTCTTGAAAATTTCTTGAAAATTTTAGGACTTTTAAATAACTTTTGGGCAGCAAATAATTTTTTTATACTTTTCTAAGAACCAAGGGATCAATAAAGGTTTTACTTCATTTCACCTAGCTCCTAGTAAAATCTATATATATAAAGGGTGTTAATCTTCTGGAGAAAAATAGGTTGTTGAAGGGTGGGGGTCAACCCCCTAACTTTAGAAGGTTGACCTACACGGAATTTTGTGGAAAGGGTCAACCCCAATCAATTCTGGGATGCAGGGGTTGGCCCACGCTTGGGCAGTTGAGTAGTCCAGACTGAAATATCATAAGTTTTGGTATAAAGTTCATAATTAGAATCCGTAAAAGTTATTGTACTCTTGACTCAATAAGCCTCTCCAATGTTCTTGATTGACAGGACTTCAAGTGAATTAAAAAATATATGGAGGATCGAAGCCGCGAATGCTAGGATAGGCAAGGAATGAGGTAAGTAACTATTCAACTACAATGTAAAATAATAATATTTTTATTACATGAGATTTACTTATGGTGCAATATAAGTGGAATATTATTTTGTTGATGAATATATGTATAATATTATTTTGACGATGAATATATGTATAATATGAGAGTACTCGAAATATGATGCTATAAATATATATAGATTTTTATTTGAAAACTGTATGTAATTGTGACTTATAAATGGTACATGAGATATAGCACTTGTGTTACACGGTCCTAAATGACTAGGTCTTCCATAACTTGTAAAGAAGAGATAACAAAAGTAAATAGATGATAGGGAAAACTCAAATATGACATCTAGAATGAGAAGATAACATTGAATATAATGTAACCACTTCGAAGGTGTACCATACTATACTATGTGTCTCTATAGATATCACACTCGAGGCTCATGATGATCATTATGGTTAGCTAGTGATAAGGTGTTTGGCCGTATCGACGATATCGAGAAGTGCTTTCTCATTGCGATCGTGTTTAGCATTGCTATATAAGGATATTTTTTGGATCGAAGGAACCCGTGTGGATGTGTGTTCACTGGAAATGAGCGACCACTGAAAACCTTCAGTCGTACACTTTGCAGAATGTCTGCCGACGAAGAACTCTAATTAGATCAAATTGGTTTATCTGCACATCTAGTCTCTAAACATTAATTGTAATTATAATTAAGTCTAAAACTTTTAAAATAATTATAATTGGGTCCAAGGCTTTTTCGAGATGCCAAAGGACATATTCTGACATATATTTTTCGAAACCAAAATAATTAAATCATGCCTAGTCAATCTCATACTATTCAATCTAATTATTTGTAATGACGAGGGTCTCTGTACCCAAACCGTTACCTTACGTACTGTTCGCTTTGGGTGGGTCTTGCGCCCACTTACCCCTCACCTCAAATTAGTACCAGAATTCAATTTAAATTTTATTTAAGGGAAAGATTATGGGTTCGAATCCCAGAGGACACAACAGAAAGTCGTGAGGGGTAAGTGGACGCAAGGCTCACCTAAAACGGACAATACGTAAACTAACAATTTGGATACAGAGACCCGGGTCATTACATTATTAGTCTGCAATTTCCCAAATAAATGCAAAGACTCTACTCACTTGAAAATATAAAATCATGGAAACTAAAATATTTGCAATATATTTCTCTAACCTAATGTGTATATATTTCATCCCCATTCGGGATTTGATAATTAGATATGAATATAAATGATCATTTTGTTCCTCTAATTATTTTTCTCTTACTTAATTCTCATTTCTTCAACAATCATAGCTTCCAAAGTTTAGCTATCTTTAAATAATAAACTCAAATTTATAACTGTTCAATATAAACACTCAAGTAATTACTCAACCAATTTTTCAATGTGATTCTACACTCATTCTATAATTGTCAATTCACTGAGTATTTGATCAATCAAATTAATCTACTGATAAATCAAAGAACTATTAAATTCACAAATGATATACAAAAACATGTCAAAGAATTTAGATGAAATACTTGACATATATGCATGGATGCATCTCCATACAAGTTCCCGAGGATGATTGAGAAAGATTAAATTAGTGGAATTTACTTCTCTGCATGCCCTTACTATAGAATGAAACTCTCTTGTGGTTTGTTCAATATAATTTAAGTGCACTAGTGTCATCAATAAATTATTTTTACAATATGAACAAATCACAAACCCGAATAGTCATATAATCAGCATTACAATATTCCAATACAATGTATCAATCTTTATACATAATCGTAAACAACTTTATTTATGATTAGATACAAATTGTGTCAAATTGTGCTTCTGAATGAAAGAACTTACTTATATTATTACAAATAATCATTGCACTTTGTTCGTATGCTCAATATCAAATAAATACAATAACATTAAATAAACAAAAACAAAACTTGCTTATTATAAAATTTTCATTTTATCACAGCAGAACTTATTAAATAAATGATAGTTTAGTCCTCAAAAGTAGTGTGTGCGCGTTTTCCCCTTAGTCGACATACTTAGTTAAAAACACTTAAATATATGCCTTATGTTTGAGAAATATTATTAGTAAATTATAACTTACTTTTCAAAATAAATATTAATTTTAACCACAAAATATATCACCACTCATTTCAATCACAATATAATTTTTAATAACTTCAATATTATCCACACACTAACAATACATGTTATGCAGCAAATGGATATACTCTGTTAAACAAGCAATTTTCACTTTTAATCAAGTCGGCAGAAATCCGAAATTTGTCAAGTCTCCTTCCCAAAACATCGAAGAAATAATTGAAATTGACCGTCCAATGTAAACATACCATCTCGAGTCGAGGCATACGTTATTTAGACATAGTTTAGCAACAAGCCACTACCACATTGTCCATTCCGACTTCACAATGTGGCAATGACTCCACTACTACATTCCCCAGATGCCTAGCAACAGTAAGGCTAAATGGCACAACTTACATGACATGCAATCTACCAAGACACTAATCAACAATGACAAGTCATTTTTAGTGTAATATACCAGATGTAAATAGCGAGCCTTTCATATTCTGAAGTTAAGCTCTAAAATAATCCGGAATAGAGAATGATCCAATAAAAAGCCTAACAAATGTAGTTATGCACAAGATGTAGACCCAACTTTTAATTATAATGCAGAATTGTACCAAACACAGACACCAGAGACCACACGCCCAAAATGCTCGGACGGACTCTACTGTTAAAGAATCATATGTTGATTCTAACCCTGATTTTTCATTTTTACATACATGGGAATGGGAGCCGGAACCCGATTCCAGCAACCATCAACCCATCACTATCTGCCAGTAATCCAGAATAGTGACAGAAAACGGCAGTTTAGATACATGATGTTTGAAGGAAGTGCGATTCGCACATTTCCATTTTTTCTCTCCTCCATCAGGAGCAACTCGGACACTGAGTTCTATGGTGAGCACGAAAATGTAAGACCTGCATAAATATGGACATGAGATTAAACAGAGAACAGACAATAAGACGTAAAAGCGTAAAATATATTAATCTTCGATATTCCTTTTGTTCCATATTCAAATTTTTAGAGATCCACTTGAACAAGACTGGATATAAAGGATACTTTATGCACTACACTTTTCTAATGGCTGAATATGTGAAGCACCAAGATGGAAACATGATGCAAGTCAAGGTTGCATCACTGCGTTGACAGAAGCATGATTGGATGACGAGAATATAACAGCACTTTGCAGTGTGAGCTCTTTCCATAATCAGTTGTCATTGAAAATAGCACCAGGTGCAACTAACCTTCCCAGGTAAACTACAATTGCAACCCAAAAGGGACTTTGGATGGATAAGCTAACACCAATGCTCTTCTTTTAGTAAGACTTCAGAGAATCTACCGAAGCCACAACCCAGGACAAAATGGAAAGAACACATTAATCAAGTGGACATAACGTTTCATCACACACCTCTCTACTCTATTCTTGTTCACTATTACATTTGGGATCCTGGATTGGAGAAAGAAGTGCAAGGATCAAAACTTGATTTCCACTAGGAACACCAGCAGACCTTCAGTTCCATCACTCCGCACAAAATAATCAGAACTTGAAGGTCTGAGTTACTTGCTCTAAGGTAAGTAACCGTATCAACCGTCCGCAATCTTAATCCTATGTGTACAATCATTTGTTATAAATACATACTACAACTTTTGGTGGAAAACATTTCCATTTCTCATCTTTCAGTTTCAGAGAATGTACTAAGTTCTACTGATCAACTGCTAGCATTAGGATGAGCATTCTATTTGCAGAATCAGGTGCCTTAATTAGTTATTATAGTAGTAGAACCAGACAGATTTAATATTTGAAGGTTAACTAAAAGGTAAAAAAGCATAAATCTGTTACTTGCAAAATGAATTTTTAAGCAAAAATAGAAGTATAATAAATCGTGTTCAAAGAATAATATACCTCTAGAATGCAAAATGGATAATTTGCAAGGCTAGATTTGAAGCCCGCCACTCAAGTAGCAATCAAACATAGAAGTATAATAAATCGTGTTCAAAGAATAATATACCTCTAGAATGCAAAATGGATGATTTGCAAGGCTAGATTTGAAGCCCGCCACTCAAGTAGCAGTACTGCTGTTCTTAGTCCTGCTGCAATCTAAGGGAACCTACAAAATAGAATCAAAATTAGAACAAAAATTTCTAGCAAGAAAATCATATAATATCTTCAAGTACCAGAAGAAGATTACCAACACTTACCTTGATCAACCCCTCACCCAGCGTTTTGGTCAGAACTGCTACCTTGCATGAATTGAGGAGAATGAGAAGATAGTATGAATTGTGGCTGTGGTGTAATAGGTGCTGCAGCACCTGATACAACCAAAATGCTAAACTCAGGTCAGCCTATTCGAAATCATAAAATTTCAATAAACCATTTCAAGGAGAACCCAAAAGATGTAAAATTGACTGCCACCCTCAATTTATAAATGAAAAGTTTTCGACTTATTGCACACACATGGAAAGGCTCCAATTAAACCAGAGAGAGATACAAGATTATTCTAATGCAGAAAAGTTGAAGCATGGTCTCCATTCTTTGGTCAATGGGCACTTCGATTCCCATTCAATTTTCTAGGCAAATGCATTAGAAATTAGTATTTTCATAGAAGCAGCTCAACTCTGGCATCATTCCTTCCAATTTAGACAATAAAGCATAGCCTCCTCAGGGATTGTAGAGAACAAAAATGATGCCATACGGACATAAGTAGGAATTGCAATGAGTTCATATGACCCAAATATTATGTTTTTCTGGAAGATGGCCCAAAAAAATTCCACAAGAATAAAATCTTACCAGTAGGGAATGGTGCTGGAACAGACGTAGTTGCCATTGCAGTGACGCTTGGCCCACTAAACTGAACAATCGGATGACCAGACATTGCATATCCCTGCAATGTCATAAAACTGTGACTTCCTGGAACAGCTTGGCTCAAAGAGCTGTAAGGATGCATAGTTGTATTTACTGCTCCAGGAACACCATAAATTTGAAGGTATTGCTGACCTCCATAAGGATTGTATACACCCTACAAGACAAAACGACAATAATTGAGTGTCAAAAGCCAGTTTGGCATCATGAAATTACCATAGCAGCAATAGTTGTCACTCTAGTGACCTGTAGATAAGCATATTCTGGACTGTATGCAGCATACCTGCAACAGTAGAAGAAATGAAATAAAGTGCCAAAAATTTCTGAAGTACAAGATCACATTCCATAGAACATCATGTCATGTAAGAATTGTTATATGTAACACCACTTCGAAAAAGGATTCAGATAAGTAATTGATATTATACTACTTTTTTACAAATATATTTATTTAGAAATGAATGAAATAGGGCTCACAGGCCCAAATATAAAAAACAAAAAACAAAACAATAATTAAAGACCATATGTATTCTCCTCCTACACCTATTGATAGTAATACTAAATCACATACTACAAAAATGATAAAAATCTCCATTTGATAGAACATTGCAATCCCACAAGTCTGTCCCAAACTACCAATTTCTTTCTCCATCATATCTAAAGATCTCCCCAGATAACTAAGATTCATGCTCTTGCTTCAATCACCTCTCTCTTCTTTTTATTTATTTTTGTTTATTTATTGTTTTTCACTCACCTCATCTCCTCTGGATATCTAACAATAAAATCCTAGTCCTACCCTCATCTTGACAAGAAGATACCCCTAGGAACTTTCTTAACTTTTTTCATTTCTCCCAACTAAAGACTACTTTCCCTCGCTATTTTACATATGCCATGTCATTCAAGACGATTATTCTTAACAAAATAGATATATTATCGAGGAAGAAAGGTGTTACAGTGAATTATGACCATATCAGCGTTACTTTCCAAACTCGTTCTTTCTTTTGATTTATTTCTAAAAATTGTCACATATTAGGTGTGCGAATAAAGTCAGTTGGGGGGGGGGGGGGGGGGGGGGGTTATAAAAATAATGTGATCCTCCCATACCACCAATAAAATGAACTGTATACACATCCAACCAGCATGTTCCCATCTTTACAAAACCATCGTTGTATAATAGATGAATTATTATGTTTATAATACATAGCTCACCCATATGGAGAATACATCAATCCTTGCTGGTAACCGTAGGTGGGTGTTTGCTGGTAGCCAAAACTTCCAATATAAGGACCCCTGGCAGCTGGTAGCCCTCCAAGGTGCGGTGCAGGAGATCTAAGACGTCCTATAAGCAACAACAGCAGAGAATAAAAGATTATAGTACTTTATATTTAATTGAAATGTAACTGAAAAGTTCAATTTCTGGGATTACAGACATGCTGTCGCACTTTAAAAATTCCAAAGGACAATTACTAAGCAGGTTATAGAAAGATCTGAGGTTCACTAATAAGCCCCAGAATGGTTTAATAACCTCCTCCGGGTTGAAAACATTTTCTGTTCTCTTCCAGCTGTGAAGCTAACCAAAATGCATCGAGATGGAGGCACTTGAATTGTGACAATCAAATTGCGGATTATCCTTTATAGATTTTTTTGGCTATTTTTCATGTGCAATTTCTTTACGTTGACCAAATTTTCTTGCACTTTTATACCTAAATCATGAACATTTTAATGGGGGCGTACGCCCCACCTTGTTGACATATGAAATGCCTCAATTCAGACTTTTGTTCTCAGAACATTATTATTGCATGAACTAACCCTATTAAAATTATTAAAAAATGGAGGGAGGGGCCATTCTTTGGATGCAACAGATGGAAAATGTTTTGCTGATGAGTTCATATAATATATCATCGACAATTTGATGGTATACACATGTATTCACAAGTGCAAGTTCATTTAAAAGCAGAAATGAACAGTTGTTGTCGATCTTCTGCCAACAACACATTAGAAGCAGACTCTGCGCTATCCAACACCGGCGGTCTTTAAGAGACTTCAGTGTAATACTCTTCATATGCATGCCCATAAGAATAGCATTAGGAAATAAAAACATTTTAAAAGGTTTCAATTGTGAAAATTCAGCAATTTCAGATGCCATTCATTCAATGCACAAGTGTAATACTGTGATAGTTATAGTCAATGTAGTCCAATGAGGTAGTTACCAAATGGCAGGAAGGGACGAGGGCGTCCAAGTGAAGCCAAATTACAATTCGCTCTTCTCCCATCAATAATTGGATTTGGATCAGCACAAGCTCTCCTAGCAGACTCTGGATGCCGGAAAGTCACCTAAAATCTCCGTACAAATACCAATTTAAATCCAAGTCAATCCAATCACCCACATTTGACTTCATATATAATAGATTAATAAACTAGTGTTTTTTTTTTTTTTTTGAAAAATGAGTGGTTGAAAAAAAAAAAAAAAAGTTTTAGATTTATGTGTAATATTATTTTATGGAAGATTATGGGGTTGAAAATATGATAGAGAAAAATAGAATGTAATTTAATGGGGGCCAAATGGGGGCTTAATTAGTAATCAGAATTCTCAATACTGAAAGACTAGAATTTGAAAAAATAACAATGAAACACTCACAAAACCGTATCCTTTGGATCGGCCGGTGTTCTTATCGGTGATGACAACAGCCTCGAGAATTTCACCGAATTGCTCAAAATATCGCCTCATGGTTTCACTCTGTGTTTCCCAGGCCAGCCCTCCAACGAAGACTTTAGTGAACGTGGTATCCCCAAATGGAGAATTCATATACTGAAATCCACCAAGACCCATACCCGGACCCGGACCCGAGCTCGGACCAGGAGTCGCCGGTAGAGGCTGATTAGCCATATAATCAGCCAAATCACTTACTTATAGTCAAAAAGGACAAGGGAACTAAAGTTTCAAGAAAGAAGAAGAAGAAGAAGAAGATTCTGGAAGAAAGGGAATTTAAATTATTACAAAAGGAGTAGCGATCCTAAATGATACTAAAATTAATCAAATGAAGATAAATTAACATTTTTTTAACAGAAAACCCCCGAGAAAAAGCTTAAAGAGACCGAAAAGCCATTTGATTTTGGATAAGTATTTATACATGGGAAATGAGATAAACAGAGAACACTTATTTCGAATTTGAAATTAAAAAAGCGAGAAAAAAAGGATGAGAGATCAAAGAGCACAAAGATCAAGAAAATAGAAACAGAAATTAATGAAAAAAGAAGATAAAAGAAAACCCTACAATTAAGATTGAACAGAAAAGAAAGAGTAAAACAGAGGAAGTGGGGTTGCGAGCAGAATAAGCACATATATACATACAGAACAGATTACGGTGTGGTGGTAGGGAAAAGGTGAATCATGGAACGAAATAGTTTCACTTTGAGATAACAAAAGGATTGACAATTACAATTTATAAATTTACATAAATATGAAAAGGAGGTAAATCAAGTGATTAGGGTAGTTAATGGGGATGAATTCTTAGAGGGATTAGGTTTGAAATTTGAGAAGGGAGAGGGTGGTGATGATGGAGAAAGATAATATGGAACAGAGTCATGATTTTTCACACAGGAATAGGGTGGGACAGGGACAATGAAAGAGAAGAAGATGCGTATGAAATATGAATAAATATGGATATAAAAATGGATTCTAGTTTTGGATTAAAATTAGATTATTTTTTACTCATTCATGACGTGGCATTTGTTGGCCCCTTTAACCCTTCAACTTTGCATGTCTTTCTGTTTTTTTCCTTCCTCTTCTTTCTCTACAAATCA